ATTTGGGCTGTAGTGCAATAGGCCACATAACCTAGATCTAGGAAGTAAAAAACCTTGGGCTGCATTATAGTAGTTACATAGTATAGTATATGCTTATAAATTTCACAAGCACACAGTACTTCATTAGTAAACTAGTATAAATCGTGCTGCCAGATGTATAGAGTATACTTAATTCACACCTACTGTAATACAAATACGGTATCAAAGCAACCTTCAGTAATATTACTTTTTATTCAGTGTACTGTAGACCCAGACTGTTGTTGGTCAGAGAAGAAAAGAGGCATTCAAATAACCTATTTTGTAAGAAAAATAGACAATTGCACCATTTTGGAGGACATGTATTGTGTTTGAGTCGATTGGGCCACAAGTAGATCCACAAACCAGCCTCATCTCTGCACATACTTACTGTTTTTCTTTCTAAGATGGCGAGAGTTGAAGAGATGCCTTATTAATACGGTGATTTTACGCTGTTGTCAGTGTTGTCACAATGAAACTATCACCTCAGCTCAAAATTCCACCAAGTAATAGTTACATTTTCTGCACCAGTGGTGCACAACGTATGGAGTGGCACTGCTATCAGATCCTATTTTAGAAATCACAAATGTCCTCTGGGGTCTGAACAGTTTGTACACTGGAGTTTATTTTGCGCCTTAGATCTTCCAATCACAGCTCCTGCAGGTTTGCCAACCAGCTGAACTGAAGACAGCTTGCTGTGCGCTGTAGAGACACTTTTAATTGGACACCAGGAATAAGATTAAAGTAACTTTGAACCGTGGGTATCAAACATTCATTTTAGTTATATTTTAGAGGAGCCTCCCAAATGTGAAAAGAGTAGCAGACCTTCCTATGCATTGTTAAGTCTAAAATGTGGCTGTTAAGTCCCCCGGTGTAGCCCTTTGATGGCATTTCTGAGATTCTTTAACTCAATGTATACTTTACAGACTTTAATGAGGCTTGGCCTCTGCTTTTAGTTTACTTTTCATTTAAGTTTGATGATGGTGTATTCATGTATGAACCAAGGGATGTGTGTAACTCCTAGAATAAAGCAAGTTTTAATTAGTTAGAGGCCACAGTTTTCCCATTAATCCTAACTGGAAATCCATCCATGTAACTCGTTAGGATTTACATGATGTACACGAAATTCCAAGTTAAGTGCAACTCTCAGGTTAGGATTTGGCCCTAAGAGAGCAAACCTCCAGGATTCACTTGTCCATTTATTTCAATTCAAGTATTTCAGCAGATTTTGTGCGTTTTTGGTGTGGCTTAATTTGTGTGAAAAGACACACATTTTTGTGAGACTTCCTTCATAGGAAAATACATTTTTGGGGGGGCAAACTCTCTCTTTTGAAAGTTATTAGAGCAATGCATGATGGGCGTTTGTGGTATCGATGAAGGTATTTGATTGGGGAATGGGGATACATTTTTATGATGGGAAATTATAATGCACACCATAATACACACACACACACACTTACACACATATGCACACACTCACTTTGCTTGTACTCATGTTATAGCCAACTCTTGACTTTTGTATGAATGATCTTTTATAAAGTATTCATTATCTTTAACTGGTTAAATGTTTGTAGTTTGCATGTTTCAGTAATGATTAACATGGTTAAATAGTCGTAAATCTCTACTTTATTTAGCTTTTGGTATATTTACAATTTTTATACATATTCTGTATTTCCACTGAAGAAAGCAATAATTAATCAACACAATACTGTAAAGAAATGGACACTACCTGTTATAAAATGGAAATTGCTCTCCGTAAAAAAATGGTGAGAAATGCTCAGTCTGAAGCCATTCGGCTATGGGTTTCACAGCCCTGTAATAATGTTACAAGTTATAAAACCTTAAAAATGGTTTATTTACAACCTCTGAAGTATAAGATCTTGGGCAAAGTGGTACAGGAGAGTCTGACTTGAGTTCAGTCTTCACCAATGAGAACCAAGAGGGGCCTAGCGTCGTCCTTCATGACTGGGAAAGGCCTCGATTCTAGGCCGTAGAAAATCCTACATCCATCTCATTAGATCAGAACAGGATGGATCAACAGTGAATCATATTACTGGTTTGCATCCTAAAAAAAGGATAGTTGTGTTTTGCTGCATAACACAGTTGCATTATTTGTCACCCATATGAGGTGGATCATTGTCAGGTTATTAGATATATAAGCTTTAGTAACAAAAGAACACCATGGTTGTAATAACACTTTAAACAGGTTGTAAATGTGTAGAATGTGTTTGTTTTGCGTCCACACTGGTAAGTTAACTTATGTAAATTAGACAGTCACAGAGGATTTTCTTCTGAATAACTGGTCAGGGCATAACACTTTCCATTTAGCTTCAGGCAACTTTGATGTAAGGCTTGATCACACCTGTAGTGACTACTTCTATCCGTCATGCCCATTGTTGCTTATCCATTGTTCACTAGATATATCAATGTAATTACACCCAACACAATGTTGAAAAACAGAATGCTTCCCACCACTAGATATCATAACTAGACGTGAGCTGGACGTGGTCGCAACACTGCCACCAATGTAGCGGAAGAAAGTGAAAGCTGCAACAGGGACTCTAACCAGGGCTCATACGTGGCAAAGTGACCTCTAACGGCCATTGCCATGGCAGCCTAGTAGGCCTCTGGACAGAGGCAGTAGACCTACAATGCTGGCATATGCCTTGTTTCAATAGCCTAAGTATATAACATGATTGACACGACCGTAATAATCATCATGGAATGGCCTTGGAAGTGCCATAAGTGTAAGCCAACGTAATTCATTATTTTACATTAACCTGTTTAACTGCATTGATATGGTTTAATTGATCATAGTTCAGACTCGTTATAGATGCAAATACCATGCAGTTGCACCAGGGGAATTTAAACCAGACAGATTTTTTTAAGTAGCACAAAAATGTGTGTATTTTCACACAAATTAAGCCACACAAAAACGCACAAAATCTGCTGAAATACTTTTTGTACATATTTGCAGGAATTTAGTCTGAGATTGTGTTGTTCAAATTCTAATCCAGTCAGAGACACATTTGAATGTCTGGTTTCAGCCAAAATGTTGTTTGAAGTCAAGTTACAGTATATTATGATGTGTAAAGTCTCCCACCACACTCCTACAAAGGCCTCCCTTAGATCAATAAAACAAATCAATTCTGAATTTCTTTTATAAGCTTTATAAAATGCCTCCAGTCAGATGTGCCTAGGAGATGGCCGACCCTAGTTAAATGGCTTCAGTATTATATGCTATCTCTAACAATGTTATCAAGATAAATTCGATGTATTTTTAGACTGACAAAGCTCCCAGACCCATGAGTCTATGGGAAGATACTTTGTGTTAGCTTAGCATAGCCATCTATCCCTTAGAGTTCAAATTAAAGTCAACCAGGGACAAAGGAGACCCAGCCTATGTAGAAAGGCAGCGCGTTTTCTCCTCACTCCTCTTCTCTCTCCTCTCTCCCTCCTTACTTCCAGTTCCTGTGCACCTGATTCTGCATGGGGATCCATCCAAGCCAAATGCAGTGATGAAAGAGCTATGACAGCAAATGGAGGCAAAATATAATTTGAAAAGTTGGGCTCAAAGGAGAAAGTGGATCAGAGAATCCCAACCAACCAAACAGCGACCTTATATTGCCATCTGTATAGCAGGGGTTGGAAGGATGCTTATCGTGTAGGCTTTATGATAATAACTCATTGGTTATTGCAAATTAACTTTGATTTCGGAATTGGAAACTGCGTGTTGACTTGTATATGCTTTATTACGTAACTTAACGGTCTATCACAAAAAAAATGGCTCTTAACAGCCTCTTCGAAATAGCTCCAATTAAACACATACTGTACCATCATGTATTCATCTGCAGTTTTAAAGATCAATATTTTTTTTGTTTAGGATTATCCAGAAATGACAACACAGTCTGAGAATAATGTGTTAAAACCAGTTGCTGAGAGAGTTACTTAATTATTCATAGCGTCTAAATAGGTCACCAGTAGTAATTATGAGGGGTAAGCCGAGGGATGAGAGGAGAGAGGAAGAGAGAGGAAGGCCTGTGTGGGACTAATCAATGAGGCAGTGGAAGAGTTCTTGAATAATCTTGTCAAATATCACTCAGCCCGGCGGTCCATCCGCACGAGCGCACCACACACATCACTCTCTCACACATACATGTGAATAGATACACACACATGTACGCACAAGCAAACATACACACACATGCAGGCAGGCAGACACACAGTCACACAAATACACACACAAATTCATAAACACACACACACACACATTGATTAGTAGCCATTAAGAGGAGGAAATGGTTTTAATGTAATTTTGATTAGGACAGAGAAAAGAGAGAACTCCTCTTTATTTCTCATTAATTTGGAGGTTGCAGAACCCTCCATCTCTGTCTCTTGTCTCTGTTATAATGCGTGCACACAGTGCCCTGGAGTCAGCCGACTTGACAACTGCATTGGCCCAGGCAGGCAGTGGATTATGCAAGGCCCAGTTTCATGGTCTGATGGAAAATCATTTTTTTCATCGGGATTCTATAAGATGCTACTCAATCATTTATAGCCGTGAGTCCACTGGCTGGCTGCTAATTTATGTACTAGTTTTAGTTGAGTAAGCACTGAGGCAGAGAAAATAACATTGTTTTATATGAATATTTATGCTCTGTTAAAAACAGTTATTCTCATTGTGGTCAGTAGTTTGTCAAAGTAAAAGTTGACTTCACATTCTGGTTGTTTTGTTTAAATCTTTTCTATTGAAATATACTTGTATGGATCCAAGTGGCATGGTTAGGGTTGACGCTACAGTATTTACAATGCTTCTGATTTAATCAACACATTCTTTGTGTGCCTTATTGACGATTATGTACCCACAATTGTTTATGTTTAACTTAATAATCCTTTGAGACACATACACATTCATTACATTTCTGACTGGCTGTTTGCCCCTGTGTTCTTAATCAAATGGCCTGTCTCCTCTCTCTTCCTCAGATGGGTACACCACTGATGACATAGAGTTCTACTGGCGAGGAGGTCACAACGCTGTGACGGGGGTAGAGAGAATAGAACTACCCCAGTTCTCCATAGTGGACCACAAACTAATCTCCAAGAATGTCGTCTTCTCTACAGGTGATGTCTTATGCCCCAACTGCCCCTATATGAAGCTTATCTCTCCCATTTACTTATCAATATAGCTAAGTACAGATACAAAGACTACAGAGGAGACAAAAAAGTGCTTCTGTTACAAGGTTATCCCTGGCCAGTTTCTGAATAGGAGCTCTCATGGCGTTTCCAGAAAATGCCATGTTACATCAGTCTAGCTGGTTTCCTGTAATGGCACAGGCCAAGCTAGAGACCCTCGCTGTGCAGTGCAGGGACCATGGGGGTGACTAAGGGCCGGCTGGTAAATTGCATCCATTTATAGGTCAGTTAGATGCTCCGACATTGGGTCTCCTCTGACAATCTGGCACATGCATGCCGTTTCCAGGACATTCGCCCCATAAGGGGGAGAGCGAGGTTCTTATTAAGGGGGAAGAGTGATGTAGGGTCCAGTGAGAGAGGCGGAGGGGGACCCCGTGGTGGTTCCGGAATGGATGTGGGATGTTCCTGCTTCAGCCGAACTAGCACAGGCCCCACCGGCAAAACGGGGGCCACCCCTGCCCTCAGAAATGGAGCATGCTCATGACTTATTAAAAAAAAAATCTTGTTTGATGGAATTATTTATTCATAATCTACCTTATTTTAATATTCATGAATTTGTCATGCAAGCAGGCAGTAGGACAGTGGCAGTGTCTAATTTATTGAACGGGAGCAGTACAATGACACAGAGTGAGTCAAACAATTACAGTGTATCTCGGGGCCTAAGCTTGTCCTGTGCCTTACGAAGCTCATGTGTCCCCATGAACTGGTAAACCCAATGTTTTGTGATGCATAGAGAACGTATAGTAGTTATAGTTCATCCCTTTCTGTGTGGGCTGTGACTGCACTGCTTAGGGGATTACCATTTTCTACAGCAGCCTGCTGAGACCCGTAAGGGCTGACCCTCAGGTCACATGCAGAAGCACACATCAGCAGAAATGGTTGGCATTTATCAAATACCCCCCACCCCCTCCCCCAATGTTGTGGTAAAGACCAAAAAATGCCCTTGTTGCTCTATTAACAAGACTGTAACCTTAACACCCCCACTGTTTCATTAGTCCTTGAGGAAACCCTCCCTGCATCTCTATTTGCTGTGCGCCACACACTAAACTCACTGAAAATCTTTTAACTAACGGCAACGTCAAAACTAACTGTGAACTACTCACAGGAGATGTGTGCCGGCGGCGTTTTTTATACCCACTCTGTAATATATTCACTTTCTCTTCCTACTCCTCTTGCACCTTCTGTTTAGCTTTTCCTCAGCTCCTGATACCGTGGGTCCTTCTTGATGTCAGCTCTAACGGTCCCCCCTCGCCTGTCATTGTAGTAGAATAATACAACCTAACCAAAATACAATCCAATCCCCAAGGACACAATATATGAGCGTGTTCAAGCAATGCTGCCATAAAGTGGCCTAATGGGTTTATTTCAAATAAAGCCTAGATAAGAAACAATGTAGTGCTCTCCTAGGCAGGAAAATAAGCCCTCTCTTCATACATATAGATATAGGCATAACCCTGATAATGCAAGAGAACGCTGATGCCACAGTGTTAGAACCAGAACCAGTATTCCTTCTGTTGAGTATTTCCCCAACAGATATCTTGGAGGCAAACAACAGGGAGTGGGACCCTTCAGGCAGCCTTTGTCAGGCATACTGTAGCTTGTCAGAACCATATACTGTAGTGGTAGCCTCTGGAGGCAAGCGTAAAGCAAAGTAAAGTCAATAGAAAGTTATCCGGCAACAAGCCTAGCAGACACGCCACCTGTATAACAACGTCTATATGTTGATATTTTTCCCTGTAGGATCCTACCCTCGACTCTCCCTCAGCTTCAAGTTGAAGAGGAACATCGGCTACTTCATCCTGCAGACCTACATGCCCTCTATCCTGATCACCATCCTTTCCTGGGTCTCCTTCTGGATCAACTATGACGCTTCCGCTGCCAGAGTTGCTTTGGGTAGGGACTGTGTCATGGATTTGTCATGTGACCAGTGACTAAGCTAATGACAACCTTAGCCAAAGCACAAGTTTGAGGCATGGTTTAGTTAGCGGGAATCAATAGTGTAACACTATGTCATAAAAATACCAACAGGATGTTGTGCTGTGTCTTTTTTAAAAACAAATATCTGTATTGGTTTTGAATCTCATCTATAATAGTCTCACCTTACATTGCCAAACCATATTTGCTTGAATTCAGGAAGGAGAAAAATATGTATTTGTTTTATGTTGGAGTTTCACTTTAGCTTTTTACAAATGCCATGAGAGAAAAAGACATGATGTAGCAGCATTGCAGAACACAACAACCGAGATGCTTCCTAAAGTAGAGTGATGGATGACTGAAGTGATTTGTTTCCACTTTGATTTGAGTGCCTCTGCGTTTTTTGTTCCTCGTCATTACGTAAGTCTGGCCCATGAGGTCCGTGGTGCGTGGGATGTAGGAAGCTCCCCTCTCTCTTGCCCCTCCCCGTGGCTTGCTCCCTCAATAAGAGCAGCACTCTCCCTGATTGGAGACTGACCTGCATTTATTTCTCCAAGAGGGAAGCATGTGCAGGATTTAATGAAAACCAGAAGTAATGCTTAATAATGGAGGCGGCTGAACAGGGGGTACAGGCTCAACCCAGATCAGACCTCTGTTCAGGAACCGTTTGACCCTGTCCTGCTTTCAGCCATTATAGGCACTAACTACAGCAAATACCGGTGTGGCAGGTGCATTGCAATTGTGTATGGATGCAATGCCAAGCTTCTATCAGCAACTTGTCATTGACCAGAATCAGAGGTAGACAATTAAGTATGTAATTTACAGATTGTATTTAGAGTCAATACAAAGAAAGCAAGAATAATTGGTGTCATAGTAAAAGAGTTGAAACAAGACATCAGTAAGCTTCACCATATAAAGAGAAAACGCCAAAGCCCCTTTTAACAGTATGTTGACCTCCAATTTGACTGTCACGACTCATTGAACGGAAATGGTAGTGAAAGCCAGCAGGGGCTTTCTTGTCAGTCACAGCAGCCTACTTGCTAGAACATTCAAATGTAAAATGAAAAGCAGAATGCACCTGATGATACCTGACCCCTCAGATCTGAGGTCAAGGCTTGAATTTCTCTCTCTCTGGGAGTCCTCTGCTAATGAGGTGGATTGTTGGTCTCCTGTGATGGTGATGATGGGCAGGTTATTTTCCCAGGAATCACCACTGTGCTGACCATGACCACCATCAACACTCACCTGCGGGAGACCCTTCCCAAGATCCCCTACGTCAAGGCCATTGACATGTACCTTATGGGTTGCTTTGTGTTCGTCTTCCTGGCCCTACTGGAGTATGCCTTGGTCAACTACATCTTCTTCGGCAGAGGACCCCAGCGCCAGAAGAGAGCAGCTGAGAAAGAAGCTGTCGCCAACAACGAGAAAATGAGAATGGATCCAAACAAGGTACAGTGTAGCCCATGCACCTACACAGCATTTTCCTGTATAGGATACCCAGTATTTTAAAGAGTAGCCCACTGGATAGATGATACGAGTTAGGTCAAGCCTCTCCATCCCTATTCCTGAAGAGCTACCGTCATGTGGGTTTTTGCTCCAACCCTGATCTAGCACACCTGATTCTAATAATTAGCTGGTTGATGAACTGAATCAGGTAAGTTACAACTGGGGTTGGAAAACCTACAGGAGGGTACCTCTCCAGGAACAGGGTTAGAGTGAAAACCTACAGGAGGGTAGCTCTCCAGAAACAGGGTTGGAGTGAAAACCTACAGGACAGTAGCTCTCCAGGGACAGTGTTGGAGTGAAAACCTACAGGAGGGTAGCTCTCCAGGAACAGGGTTGGAGTGAAAACCTACAGGACAGTAGCTCTCCAGGAACAGTGTTGGAGTGAAAACCTACAGGAGGGTAGCTCTCCAGGAACAGTGTTGGAGTGCAAACCTACAGGAGGGTAGCTCTCCAGGAACAGTGTTGGAGAGCCCTGCTCTAGGTAGTGAATAATCTTTGTGCACACTTAGAGAAATTGTTTATTTTCATACACCACATACTTGATAGAAATATGACTTATCGTAGATATTCACAAAAGGTATAATAATTAAACATGCGTAGTCTTTCCTGTATCGTGAATCGCTGTACTAGTTGTTCCTGTCCAGTCTGTTCTCATAACTACACTGTGATTTCACTGTGAACACACACACATTTTCAGATGAAAGTAGTGCCATGACTTGATTCTTGAGCTTACATGAATTTGATGTTTTGTCTTTTTCGTCTTCACTTTATGAAAGTGGATTTAATTATTGAAAGGACTGACTGTGGAGACAAGCAAGGTAATCATGATGGGGAATTGTGTCACCACTTCAAATGGGGGGTTGGATTAATGCTACTCTGCCTTACCGTCAAGGAGAACAAGCCTTTATGAGCATACATCAGTCCTGTGTGAAATCCAAATAAGGCGCTTTGCCGTCTGAAACACAGGCAGACAGAGATGATCTGTCACTGTGTTTTTTTTTGTCCAAATTAAATGGAATGAAAGGCAAGGAACCCTTTAGAACCCATGGGAGAGCCTGGAAAGCTTGTGAAGTGAAGAACAACGTGAAGAGTATTCTTCCTGTTACATTTACCTGTTTTGTAATGTCCCGAAATGGGATGGAGAATTGTAAAAGCTTTTCTCTTATCTACATGGTAACTGGGTCAACTCAATGAACACACAGTGTATCAGGGTCTGTACTGTTTTCAGGTTGACTCATACAACAGAAAAACATGCTTTGGATAGAGATTTGGATGACACTCAGAGTCAAAATGTGATAGTTGCAGCAAATGCCTCTCTGACTATGGTTACATAAAACAGAATTGTCTATTTTGTGTTGCCTCTCTAGGCAGCTGACTCAAGTGACCATAATGATTTTGTATGCTTGCAGTGGTTGGTGGGAAATGTAGTTCAGAGAGACGACACTCTGTATGCCAGAATGAAACAGAGGGATATTGACGCTCATGACTCGATGTGGGAACCAATCTTTGTGGACGATGCAGCGATAGGACTAGGCGAGGAAAAGAATAAGGTACTGGATTAACAACTGAGAGTGACAACATACAGTACAATGCATTCAATATTTACAACCCAACTACAGTCACTTTTATAGTTTGACTTATTAAATTGTACCTAGAGTTTCCATCATCATCACCATCACCATCATCACCATCATCATCATCATCATCACCATCGTCCTCCCCTTATCCCTGAACTCCACTTTTAGACGCTGGTTTGCACATTCTAAACAAATGTAAATGTAATGGACGTATCTGCTGTACTCTATATGGTAACATCTAGCAAATAATAGCTGGGATGGATAGCTTCCCATTTTGGTGAATACATTATACGTTTCAGTAGCTATGTTTCCATCCAATTGGTGACAGATTTTCATGTAAATATTCTCAAATCTGCATAAAAACAACATTTTCCCACCAGATATGTATTTCCATCAAATGTACTTGTTTACAGATAAAAGGCTGTGCGTGATGACGCAGTGCACATAAAAAATACATTTTGTGGTTAAATTCCCATGTACCAAATAGAAAATACAAGTTAAATGGGTTTCCATCACATTTTCAACTCTACTGATGGTTTTCTCACAAACCAATGTGCGTTATATAGCGAATGTGCCCACTCTGGTATTGGCACGTGCGCACTAGCCAACAGTTAATAGATACAGTGCAGGTATAGCCTACACTACATTATGAGATATTATGGAGAAAAAAAGCGAAATATGTTTATTTTTCAAATGGCAGCCAAGCATCGATGATCATGTCACCAGAATAATATATAATATTCCAATATTTATTGGAAAGGAGCATCAAGCTAATCACCTTGCACTTTCACCAACCTGTGAAGTTCATCATAATTTATTTAATCTGTAGCCTAATAAACTGCATGCTTTCCCGGTGAGTTTACTTCGATATGATGGTTATTATATCAATAATTGCGCATTAAAAGCGTTTCCACCGACATTTCTCACATAATACATTTTACAGACACAAAAAGATCCCACCTTGCCTAGCATATTTTGTTTTGTCGACATTTGGAAAGTTTGCCGGCAAATGTTGTCTTTCCATCAGGCCTGTCATGACACTGGCATAAAAAGGTTGGAAGGAAACCTGGGTAGTGTGTTATTCATTTCTGAATATTATGTTATGGGTGATTTGGTTGTAATACACATGTAGAATCTTAGTTTGATCACCCTGTTGCAGGAGAATTTTCCAGGAAATGTAAAACTTGTAGTGTATTTGAGGTTGAAAAGGCTTCTGAAGTTTGTAATTTCCACTTAGACATTTCAGACATTATTTTCTCTTACAAACAATGTCCATTAATTATAATCCACATAATAATTCACATTTCCTGTTGCTGCAGGATCATTTTCCAGCTGTAGCTAACTGGCTCAAATTAACATCCTACATCTATAAGGTCACCATATGGTTGGGTCTGTGTTCACACAGAGTGTGATGAGAAATTCACCTTACCCTCTCTATCTCTACAATATATTATTGTTACACCAACACTGGCATTGTCATCGTCTGTTATCGCCATCTCTGTTTACACTTTGTGTTATATCAGTGGTTTTAGTCATCCAATTCTAGATTCAAAAAGTGTTTAATTGTGCCTGTTATTTTGTTTATTCAACTCAACATTGTCAGTGAGTATAACTCACTGCAAAGCAGTAAGTACAGTAATCCTTTCACATTCTAGGAACCCGCAGCTCCCTTTTACCCAAATAAACATGAGTTTATCATGAGTTCTTTCAAGTTTTGTTTGCATGCCATCCTATATTACGAACATATTTGTTATAAGACAATTAGTTATTGAATGATAAACTGTATTAACACTACAATATCAATATGATATGTTGTTTTAGAAACCAAAATAACCTAAGTCACTGAATTAATTTCCAGAGTGTAAACTAAAGACATATTCCATTGATATTCATTTGTCATTATAAGATGTATGGGTTAATGGTTAGGACAGGGTGAGTAAAGGAAAACGAGTTGTTTTCTAGAACAAATACGTCATCTCAGATTTAACATGAATTGTGAGCAGGGGTTCTTACAAAATGTTTAAAGACAACTTTGGCGGATACTACACTAACCGTTCAAAGGTTTTAGAACACCTACTCATTCAAGGGTTTTCTTTATTTTTACTATTTTCTACATTGTAGAATAATTGTGAATACATCAAAATTATGAAATAACACATATGGAATCATGTAGTAACCAAAAAAGTGTTAAACAAATATATTTGAGATTCTTCAAATAGCCACCCTTTGCCTTGATGACAGCTTTGCACACTCTTGGCATTCTCTCAACCAGCTTCACCTGGAATGCTTTTCCAACAGTCTTGAAGGAGTTCCCACATATGCTGAGCACTTGTTGGCTGCTTTTCCTTCACTCTGCGGTCCGACTCATCCCAAACCATCTCAATTTGGTTGAGGTCGGGGGATTGTGGAGGCCAGGCCCCTTCTTGGTAAAATAGCCCTTACACAGCCTGGAGGTGTGTTGGGTCATTGTCCTGTTGAAAAACAAAATGATAGTCCCACTAAGCCCAAACCAGATGGGATGGCATATCGCTGCAGAATGCTTTGATAGCCATGCTGGTTAAGTGTGCATTGAATTCTAAATAAATCACAGACAGTGTCACCAGCAAAGCACCCCCACACCATAACACCTCCTCCTCCATGCTTTATGCTGTGAAATACACTTGCGGAAATGAGAGCCAGTTTCATCATAGCGCTTGATGGTTTTTGCGACTGCACTTGAAGAAACGTTCAAAGTTCTTGAAATGTTCCGTATTTACTGACCTTCATGTCTTAAAGTAATGATGGACTGTCATTTCTCTTTCCTTATTTGAGCTGTTCTTGCCATAATATGGACTTGGTCTTTACCAAATAGGGCTATGTTCTGTATACCCCTCGTACCTTGTTACAACACAACTCATTGGCTGAAACACATTAAGAAGGAAAGAAATTCCACAAATTAACTTTTAAGAAGGCACACCTGTTAATTGAAATGCATTCCAGGTGACTACCTCATGAAGCTGGTTGAGAGAATGCCAAGAGTGTGCGAAGCTGTCATTTACATTTACATCATTTAGCAGACGCTCTTATCCAGAGCGACTTACAAATTGGTGCAAATATATTTTGATTTGTTTAACACTTTTTTGGTTACAACATGATTCCACATGTGTTATTTCATAGTTTTGTTGTCTTCACTATTATTCTACAATGTAGGAAGAGAGAGAGAGGAGAGAGAGAGAGAGAGAGAGCGAGAGAGAGAGAGAGAGAGAGAGAGAGAGAGAGAGAGAGAACCTTTCAGAGCTACTCACTAAAAAAGTATACAAAAGTCCCGAAGAATGTCTTTAAGCGTGATGTCTTGGTATGGATAATGAAGACATTAAGCGTTAGGCTGTCCATCCATTACATATAGCATAACTAATTATGCATTTAATTTCTCACCTTGTAGATGGACCCGCATGAAAATATTCTACTGGGCACCATAGAAATTAAGAATGAGATGGGAGCATCGGAGCTGACCCTTGGTCTCAGTGACCCCAGGAGCACCATGTTAACTTATGACAGCTCCACCCTGCAGTACCGCAAAGCAGGGCTGCAGGCCAGGCACAACTTTGGACGCAACACCCTGGAACGCCACGTGCCTCAGAAGAAAAGCCGGCTACGGAGGCATGCTTCACAGCTGAAGATCAACATTCCCGATTTGACTGATGTAAACTCAATCGACAAGTGGTCGAGAATGATCTTCCCCACTGTCTTTTCTTTGTTCAACATAATCTATTGGCTCTACTACGTCAACTAAATGGACTTCAGCAAGGGCAGAACTAAACAAACAACAACGGAAATGTTGCTTGTTTTTTTCTGAATAGTTATCATTTTGCTGTTTGTTCTTGCAACACAAGACTGAATTACTAAAGCAAAATCAGGACTGACTCCATTTTACCTTGGAACACCTTAATTGCTGGCTAACACATGAAAACCTTAGAGGAGAGAGAGAGATTAAGAACATATTCTGTATGGTGCCTGTACCAGAGTTTTTCTTTATAATTTTACAAGTTGAATATTTAGTGAATTTAGTATTTTATCATTTTAAAATGTTTGATTGCATATATTTGTATGTTTTTACTTTGTAAAATCTTATATATATATAAATATCATTAATATTTCAAAACATAGTTAGAAATATTAATGATATATTGATTTAAAAATGTCTCAGACCACAAAGACACTCCTTAAAACAGTTACAAGCATGTTCAGGTCAATCTTTTCTAAGATTCATTACTTCAAGGAGACAACTATGTAATGGTATTTATCCTAGAATTTATTTTGTCTTTATATTGTGAAGTTTCACATTTTCATAGTATTAATATATTAAGTCATAGTAAGAGGGTCTTACGATTAACCAACCTTTTCTACTTTGATATAGTTGATAAATCATATTATTTATTTTTAAGCATTATTTCAATTCTATGAAAGTGTTTGATAGTGTAGTAGATAATATTTTAGACAACAGAAACTAACATCATTCCAAACCTTGACAGAAGAAACTAGAAGGTAAAGCTTATCGGCGGTTGACATTGAATGCTGTAGAACAGCTTACAGAGAAATGCATCACGAAGCCTTTGATTCATGATTTGACATTGTTTTTTTAATGTATTCACAGAATATTAACTTGAACTGAGAAGTTATATATATTGCAAAAAAAGAGAAAGATACGGGGAGAGAAACGGAGAGAGAGAATGCTACATTAGTCATCAAAGCAGTTTAAGAGTCAGTGATATAGTGATAGATCATGTAAAAGAGCAACGATATCTCGAACAAGAATACACAAGTGTATCTGAAAAATTGTCCTTTGTCCATTTCGGTCCTTTGTTTACAAATCCGTAAGATTACAGGATAAAATTATTTATTTGCTCGTAATTGCTCTTCATATAGATATACAGAAACAAACATTGGATGTAGTTTGTTAAGAAACTTCAGATAGCATCTTGATATGTAATTCCTATTCCTAATGACTTATGCCATTGAGCCAGCAGTTAAGGCGTCTATGATAGGCATTTCATGATGCATCATAAGCCAATCTTTCCTATCACCGTGATGTGTAAATATCTCTTGTATATGATTATTTAAAAAGTAATGATATCTATCACAGTTCCAGCGAGGATCCATCCAGAATTTGTCCATGATATAATTATCTTCAGGAAACTGGAAGGGTTGGAATGACAAAGGTTTTGAGCAGCTCCACATACTAAAATTATACATTGTCATTACTGCCATTTCTTTATCAAACATCCAGGTTTTGATATGAACTATACAAAATAAAGAGTATGAAAGAGAGAAAAGGCTGCTCTGCAAGCTGGCAAAAGAAACCAGAATGCATAAAAGCACAATGCTGCTCCAACTCTCAATTGAAAAGGGACTGTCGTCTTTTTTTAAATTTTATTTTTAGATTATATGTTTATTTTTGGTAATCAATGCATTCCATTACTCTACTTTCCTGCCAAATGATTACTATAAGTATACTGTAATAATACTCCTTTCCTGTATGTTTGTTTACCTTATTAGTAATACTCCATGAAGGAGCACCCTATGGCAACACTGCCAGTAGTAGAATCAGCATTCAACGTAAATTAAGAAACATCATAAACATTTTTGAAACCGAAACACACAGTAGTGCATCGTACAACTGTTGCACGTACCATGTTTAACCACTGACTTTCTAAAACAACGTTTTGCACACAAACAGATCCAAAAGCCATAGCGTCCATATAGTAGCTGGTGCAACACTTCTTGGTGCTCTTGAGACTGTTCCCTCCAAACAGAGATATAGTTACAAGAAAGAGACTAGAACATTACAATTTGTCTCAAATGTTTCTTGAAATTTAATGGAAACAAAAACAGGGATAACTACACAAATATTATAAATGATTTATTAGTGATTTCTGATCATGTTAGTGTTTGATGACCCCTTAGACGATCGGTAACAATTAAATATAGAAACCAAGCCCATGAACATATTAATTATCATTACATGCAGATTTTGTGACATCACCTCAAGTTCAATTGCATGTTTTCAACATAATTGTTATTCACACAAAAAATCCTATTGCATTTCATCTACCTTTACATCTGCATGCTCTTTTCTCAATAATATCAACAGGAAAAAAGTCCAGTTCCGTCTCTCTCTTTTTTGTGCTTTTGATTTAGGTCTTCTAAAGCTTACTTTTCCACAATCCAAACAAAGGTAGCCATCACACCCTTGTTGTGACATGGTGAACATCATTTAAATATATAAGGATGAACAGGTAATGGTTGGAAGTAAAGGGTTCGTTTAGGACATTTTATAATTGTGTGTTTTTGCAGCGTTAACATTCTATTACGGTTTGAAGTGGTGGTAGTAATGTAGTATACTTATTAAGATAATGATTATAAAGTTGATGAGCGATAGAGGATAAACATGAGACTAAGGCTGGAATTCAGTCAAACCCGCACAGCAGCATTTATTATTATTGTTATTACATACATTTTCTGGCTAAAAAAGTAAGGAAAGGGTGCATTTTTACAAGACATGACCTAAGTGATTTTATCACCCATGTGGGTTTCCTGCAGTAAAAGTTTAATTGAACACCCTTAATAACCATGCATACTAAATATGGCTATTTAACCTAATATACACTGCTCAAAAAAATAAAGGGAACACTTAAACAACACAATGTAACTCCAAGTCAATCACACTTCTGTGAAATCAAACTGTCCACTTAGGAAGCAACACTGATTGACAATACATTTCACATGCTGTTGTGCAAATGGCATAGACAACAGGTGGAAATTATAGGCAATTAGCAAGACACCCCCAATAAAGGACTGGTTTTGCAGGTGGTGACCACAGACCACTTCTCAGTTCCTATGCTTCCTGGCTGATGTTTTGGTCACTTTTGAATGCTGGCGGTGCTTTCACTCTAGTGGTAGCATGAGACGGAGTCTACAACCCACACAAGTGGCTCAGGTAGTGCAGCTCATCCAGGATGGCACATCAATGCGAGCTGTGGCAAGAAGGTTTGCTGTGTCTGTCAGCGTAGTGTCCAGAGCATGGAGGTGCTACCAGGAGACAGGCCAGTACATCAGGAGACGTGGAGGAGGCCGTAGGAGGGCAACAACCCAGCAGCAGGACTGCTACCTCCGCCTTTGTGCAAGGAGGAGCAGGAGGAGCACTGCCAGAGCCCTGCAAAATGACCTCCAGCAGGCCACAAATGTGCATGTGTCTGCTCAAACGGTCAGAAACAGACTCCATGAGGGTGGTATGAGGGCCCGACGTCCACAGGTGGGGGTTGTGCTTACAGCCCAACACCGTGCAGGACGTTTGGAATTTGCCAGAGAACACCAAGATTGGCAAATTCGCCACTGGCGCCCTGTGCTCTTCCCAGATGAGAGCAGGTTCACACTGAGCACGTGACAGAAGTGACAGAGTCTGGAGACGCCGTGGAGAATGTTCTGCTGCCTGCAACATCCTCCAGCATGACCGGTTTGGCGGTGGGTCAGTCATGGTGTGGGGTGGCATTTCTTTGGGGGGCCGCACAGCCCTCCATGTGCTCGCCAGAGGTAGCCTGACTGCCATTAGGTACCGAGATGAGATCCTCAGACCCCTTGTGAGACCATATGCTGGTGCGGTTGGCCCTGGGTTCCTCCTAATGCAAGACAATGCTAGACCTCATGTGGCTGGAGTGTGTCAGCAGTTCCTGCAAGAGGAAGGCATTGATGCTATGGACCGCCCGTTCCCCAGACCTGAATCCAATTGAGCACAACTGGGACATCATGTCTCGCTCCATCCACCAACGCCACGTTGCACCACAGACTGTCCAGGAGTTGGCGGATGCTTTAGTCCAGGTCTGGGAGGAGATCCCTCAGGAGACCATCCGCCACCTCATCAGGAGCATGCCCAGGCGTTGTAGGGAGGTCATACAGGCACGTGGAGGCCACACACACTACTGAGCCTCATTTTGACTTGTTTTAAGGACATTACATCAAAGTTGGATCAGCCTGTAGTGTGGTTTTCCACTTTAATTTTGAGGGTGACTCCAAATCCAGACCTCCATGGGTTGATACATTTGATTTCCATTGATAATTTTTGTGTGATTTTGTTGTCAGCACATTCAACTATGTAAAGAAAAAACTATTTAATAAGATTATTTCATTCATTCAGATCTAGGATGTGTTATTTTAGTGTTCCCTTAATTTTTTTGAGCAGTATATATCTACATAATGATTGGCTATTTGGGCTATTTTTACTTTTCACTAATGTTTCATTTATCATTACTCTATTGTGTTTGTGTAATTTGTTTATATATTCTCATATGGCCCTGCATTACATTTTGTTCAAAGTTCACCCACTCCATTTTAAGATGTTACCAGATCATCTACATGTACATTTGTAGAAGCTTGAATATGATTTATATGTACATTGATCTACAGAAATGTCTTGATATTGGTGTTGTACAATTTTTCACAGGGTTGGGCTTTAAATACTGTGTTCCAAAACCTGTTTCTAAGTGTACATATAAAATAATGTTAGTAAACATCAATTGGAGACTGATATTCCTTTAAATATAAGCATATTTCTTAAGAGAAGACTAAAATCAATTTTTAACTTACTGATTTGTACTTTACTGTAAGACGAATACAAAGCAATTTCATGGTTTCAGCTAATATGACAACGATAATGTAAATATTTTGAAGAGTACCACTTGATCACTTAGTAAAACAAACATTTGTGTTTTAATGACTCAAATCACAATTTATTTAGTT